GGGCGGGAGCGGATCCGGCAGTTGACCCACGGCCCGCGCGCCTAGTGGGCGTCCTACGTGCCACTACACCACTTCCATCTCTTTATATGTTATAGAAGGTGAAACACAGTTCTAATTTTCCAGAGCATCTGGATATCTGGATCGGACATCGACTCCTTTGGACAGCGCGGAAGTTTGATAATGACCTTCGAAGTCTTTTCCTTTACCACGAAATCAACGCTTTCTCCAGTCTCTTCGACAAGGTATCGTACAGTCGTTACCGTAAATCCTGCTATTACAGTAATCGCGTTAACTTTTCAGAAGTGGTTCGACAATGAAGTTGTTGATCTTGCTGCTGTCGCTGCTGTTTTTCCGAAGAGTTGTAATATTGCCACCATGGCTATCGATGTACTGCTTTGCTCAAACTTCGAAAGTTCAGCGCAACAAGGAGTACTCTATGCGGTGAGTATCGCGAGCTCCTTGGATAAAGGAAGTTGAAGTCCGGCTCCTGGGATGAAGGGAGTTTAAAAAAAGAACTGAATCAAATAATGAAACTTCGGACTTCGGCCCCTGTCTGCGTTTCTGGACTGGGTCGGGTGAAACACCTGAATCGACTTCGACATTTCGAAACTTACTTTAACGAGGGACCCTTCGAGCACAAACTGTGTACACTCACCTCGAGGACGGCCCTTTCCAGATAGGAGGCGAATCGTTTTGCCGCTGCTGTAGCGCTCCTCTTTTTCCGCTCGAAAATACAGGGGAACGTGGCTGTAGTGTAGCGGTACCCGATACCATCTCATCTGCTCGCGCTATCCTCAAAGCGCAGCACTTGCTTGCCTCGATAGCGTGATCTGCAGTGAAACACGCACTCAGCGGTGGAGAACAATCAGGTGGAGTCAGAGGACGCATACAAATAGCGGGTTGGGCGAGTGGATGGTGGGGCGGTAGCGCGGGCGGAGCATGAAGACGACACCCGGGCGTCATTACTCTCCAGCCCGGTCTGTGCTTTTGGCCGGAGATTGGTACCAGTACTGCGCAGCCGCTGACCATACGGGAAGGGTCCCTCAAAGACGTGTGTACAGTTTGTCTCTGATTAAAAACAGCTTTTCCGTGATTAGTAGCCTGATGTTTCCAAATCAACTTAAAGGCAGTTGGCACGAAATTTGGTACTCAACCTAAAATGCTAGCAGGACGCTATAGTGGGGAGAATGACGAAAAAACGAAGTGGAACCGTCAAAAACCTGCGAAGAGAAGCCGTCATTCATAATGACTCAAAAAGCAATTTCGGACGAGTTTCCCCGTAGGCATCTTGCCAATAAACGCTACGGTAGATACGGCTGCATGTGTGTACTCATATATCCATGCAGCACCGTACTAGCAAATGGAAGCAATACGAGGCAGAAGGGTAATGGTCGTCAGTAGTGGACGGGCGCGGCAGTGGCGGGCTTTAAGGTGCGGTTGTTGCTTACTTGATAGGGGACCTTAATGAGGGCCTCTCCCTTGGAAAAGGCATCATGCAGCGCCTGTTCAGGGTCGCGGAATCTCGTCCTGCCAGGCGTATTAATCCTACTCGTCTTAGGGAGCAATCGTGCCAACTGCCTTTGAAGTTGCAAGTTTTGTGAACAGGTCACGGCTTTGACCTGCTTTCTTCAGTTTTGTTATCTGGAATCCATACTGCCAGCTTTCAGATTCCCATGAATTCCCATGTCCTATTGCACTCGACTTTATGACTTTTTCAGATCGTCCACGCTGGGCAATTCATGCCAGAAAACGAGGCTTTCGTTTTCTACGAGGTTCCCGAATATGTAGTGGTGATCGAAGAAGAAGATGAGATCATTCCAGTCGAGTTCGAGTCTTGCCACATTATGGTCGGTCAAAGCTTTACCCTGGAGTGGAATCAATTGCTCAAATACAGCTTCAGCTTCAAACAACTAAATGTCTGCCATTTCAGAACGGTTCCTACTTTATGTGTATGGAAAGGGCTCATGGCGAGTGCGACATCAATACGATGGATTCTTGTGATATCTTCGCTCAGTCCACCGCCACTAACTTCACGTTCATCCGATCTTTCGGTACTGGCAGGATAGTGGCCACTAATCAGCCGGTATGTCAGACTCACTTGATGAATTCCTTTCACATAATGTAGCCTCAATTCAGGAAGTTAACATTACTGGTTCTATGGTGAAGGCACCCTCTAATATATTCACCCATCACACCTCCTACGAATTGGAGGAAACTGAAGACGACGAGTCAAAACTGGTCTCCTATTCGAAGACGACCGCAGTTGAAAACGAGGTGGGCGTGGCTTCCTTATCGCACTGGGGCTAGAAATTTAAACAAGCCTAGCATTTCAAATCTCAGGTCTCATTCCCCAGCATGTCACACGGGGCCAGAGACGCTGTTCATGCCAACCATCATGCCACTCGTTTATATCGTCTGACTCGGAAGGGAATCCCTGTACTCAGCAACCAGGTTCGTTTCACGCCTTTTCTATAAATAGTCGAGCTAGTGCTGGAGTAGAATCTTAGGACCTCTTCTTTAACGGAGACCTCGAGAAAGACGCTGGCTACCCATTCCGCTTTCATCCACTGAATCAGGAGAATTCCTGAATTGTTCCAGTGCACCATAGTGCAATTCGGCTTACATATATTTTCTTC